TGTAGCCCTCTGGGCATTGACTCCTGAACTCTGTTCTGGAAGTGTTGTTTAGAAGTGGATTACTGCAATAGGAGATTTATCCTGGTGGATGTACGTCAACTTGCTCCTTTCCTAAGGGGGCAGGTTCTGGGTGGGCTGAGTCTGTAGATGCGTTTGGATCAGTTAACTCCTGAGCAGTGTTATCAGGTGCGGCAGAGTGGTCGGCCTCTTTTCCAGTGCGTCGGCTGTGATTGGCCTCATTTTCACTGTATCTTTTCCAGCGTGGACTATTCACTCTTCAGTCTCTCCTCCCTAAGGGAAGATTCAAGAGTGAGGTCATCTCATTCTCTTCCCTTACTGATCTGCTTTAGGACTGGCAGAAAACAGGGTCATGATGCCTATTTGGGAGGGTCTTCTGGACTCTTCGACAGTTGCTGCTGTTCTCACCAAGCTGGAGGAAGGTGTGGCCTTGTGTTCTGCTCTCCGTCCCCACCTCTCTCACTGGCTTTGGGAACAAATTTTGCAATTTATCAGCAATTACAGCTGCAGGCTACACAATAGCTACTACCCTCCCACTTAAGCTGTAGTGGCCAGAAAAAAAAAAAAAAATCAAGTCCCCAGTGAAAAAGTGAAGTTCCTCCATGGTGGGGAGTATTCTAGCCTAAGCACAGTTCCCAGCCTGACGTTCTGGGTCGGCGGGGTAGAAGAAGGGCCACAGACTATTTTCATTATTTCAGAAACTAAATGGAAATCTGCATGTGCCTATGATGAGGCTGCACAGGTTTACCAAAATCTAACATTTATTTGCCTTTGATTTGAATTATATAAGCTCCCTGTGGGAACCTTGGTTATCCCACGCTCATCAGAAGCTCTCTTTGGCACTTGTATGTCAAGAAAATATCAACAAATGAATTTTTAAGATAGGTTGATAACAAAATCTTTCAAAATATGTTTTGTGAGGGGGGGAAAACACAATGACTCCTTAAAATGGTGTACAGATGGGGCAGCCCAGATGTTGGGACAGCCAGGGCATTATTCAAAACTTGAGAATCTCCCCAAGGATTAGAATCTTGAAAACTTAAGTTTCTTGTGAAGTTGCTTAGCGGTCAGATAAATTTAATATCCCAGGATAATGTCCATTTCTCTTATCAACAAAAAATGACCTTTCAGGGAAGTTAGTCCCCCACACTAGAAGGTATATTTTTTAGATGCCCACCTGGAGCTAATCATGAGGTTACTCCCACGTGGCATAACTGTGAAGCAATTTCACTGGCTTTTTGGGGCCTTTGGCTTAACATCTCTGGGCCTTCCTTTTTAAAAAATTGTTTTTATTGATGTCATAATAGTTTTTAACATTGTGACATTCAAGTTGTACATTATTACTTGTCAGTCACCATGTAAATGCACCCCTTCACCCCTTGTGCCCACCTCCAACTCCCTTCCCCCTGGTAACCACCAAACTGTTCTCTCTGTCCGTGTGTTAGTTTATATTCCACATGTGAGAGAGGTTATACAGCGTTGGTCTTTCTCTGTCTGGCTTATTTCACTTAACATAATACCCTCCAGATCTATCCATGTTGTTGCAAATGGGACGATTTTGTCTTTTTTTCTATGGCTGAGTAGTATTCCATTGTATGTCTATACCACATCTTCTTTATCCATTCATCTGTTGATGGACACTTGGGTTGCTTCCACGTCTTGGCTATAGTGAATAATGCTGCAATGAACATAGGGGTGCATAAAGCTCTTTGGATTGTTGATTTCAAGTTCTTTGGATAAATACCCAGAAGTGGGATAGCTGTATCATAAGGTATTTCTATTTTTAATTTTTTGAGGAATCTCCATACTGTTTTCCATAGAGCCTGCACCCGTTTGAATTCCCACCAGCAGTGAATGAGGGTTCCCTTTTCTCCACATCGTCTCCAACATTTGTTGCTTTTTGTCTTGGTGATTATAGCCATTCTAATGGGTGTAAGGTGATATCTTAGTGTAGTTTTGATTTGCATTTCCCTGATGATTAGTGATGTTGAACATCTTTTCATGTGCCTATTGGCCATCTGTATATCTTCCTTGGAAAAATATCTGTTCATATCCTCTGTCTGGGCCTTCCTTTTACCAGAAATCTTTATTGCTGCCTGATGAACCATTTCTTCTTCCCAGCGCTACAGCCTGTGTAGTATCACGTCACCCCAGCTGGTAGGATCACTGAGGCAGGATCACGTCACCCCGGCTGGTAGGATGCTGTCCTCTTGGACACAAGCAGGGGCAGCATTTGGTCCCCAGGCAGCTAAACACAATTGATTGGACTTATCTGTCCACAAAGAGATTTGGTTTAGACCAACCACCATTTCTGCTGATCAAGACAATTTTGTACTTAGATAAAAATGGGTTACGGAGCAATTTGATAAGTTTGACAAAGGTTGATTGTAGCCATTAGAGGTTTCTTCTAATGCTAATGAAATGTTGACCAAGACTCTTCTGCCATCTTGGTTCCCTCTTTCCTTAAGTGGGATGATAAAAATTGGAGAGATCCAGCTTGGGAGATGGGGGTGTTTCTCTGATACAAATCAGCGTGGGCTCACAGTTTATAAAGCAGGAGTTGGAATCACACGAACCTGGATTTGAATTCTGGCTCTATTACCTGGTTGTGTAACCTTGGTCATGCTACTCAACCTTTCAGAGCCTCAGTTTTTCATCTTTAAAATGTGGATACTACCTGTCTTGCAGGATTGTGATGAGGATTAAAGGAAATAATATAATAGCACTAGCAGATTGCCTGGTACAGTTACACAAGCAGGTTGTGAGAAGGGTGATGCTCAAAGCTTTTGCAAGAGTGGTGTGGAGGCAGCTCTGACTTTAGGGGAGGCACCATGTTGGTTGTCACTGGAAGAGTTTTTGACTTTTACGTCTTCCTACTTGAGAGGCGGCGTGGTGAATTAGAATGTGGAGCAGGGCTATGGTGTCAGATGGATGGGGTTTACATGTTGGTCTTGCTTGTTGGTCTTGCGTGTCTATTAATGACATGTCGCTCTGAACCTATTTCCTCAGGTCTAAACTCTCAGAGCTTTTGTGAGGAACAGCACTGACGCCTGTGAAGTGCCCCACGCTGTATCTGATACAGGAGGGACTCATGGTGATGACATTGTTACCCATATAGTCGTTAGTTTCCAAGTCTTCATATTGTAGAATAATTGAGGAATGGATGAGGCAGTAGTCTCTTCCATGGGAGCACATATACGAAGGCAGGCATTATAACTTATTTGAAGGTTTAAAAGAATGGACATCTTGTAAGTCTTTATAAATGGTACTTTTAATGTTTTGTATTATATTAGAAGCTTAACTTATTATCCAATAAATATTGTAGCTATGTTATCATTTCCTGCCAGTTAGATGTGTAAGATTGTTGATTAGTTTTATAATGGAGAACACAGATTGAGTTTTAGGATATTGAATAATTTATTAGAGATAATAGATTAAAAATAATTTACTATTTTCTTACATTTGGGGAAGTTAAAATATATTTTAAAACCTTGAATATATCCATAAGCAGGCAAAAGGGGAAAGAATTAAAAGAAACATGCAATTGGATATGAAAAGAATAGCTGTGGCAGAAAATGACACCTGTATATGCCCAAATCGATCATTTCTATATAGCTTCAAGAACAATTTCATGATAATGTTAGCCGTTCAGGACCAAAGTAAACAGTTCTAATAATCTTGAACGAGTTTGTCACCATCGTTTTCCTATTACCTTTACTGACAGGTTATAAATCCATTTTAATTACGTGTAGTAAGCAACACTTTGTTATACCACTTCAATAAGTATAACACCATTTCTAATACAGTATGACTTTGACACCTTTGAATTAAAAAACGATCCAACTTTAGCAAGAGATGAAGTTGATAATTATCTGGCAAATTTAGGTTATGTGCTCAATTTGGATAAATTAGATCTCAAGGCAGATTTTGCACTCTAGCGGAGTGTTAGCTGTGACCATGGCAAGTGTTCAACAGATGATTGCCACATCTCCCCTTCCCTTCTTTATAGACTTGGGACTTACTGGCTGTTGCAATGAAGCAGAATCTCATGTACGTATACATTTGAAATCTTCACAACTTTTAAATGGATGAAACCATGATTCGGCAATCCCTATTATTAGAAGATTCATTGAAGCTGTTTAGATGATTTCGGTCTGCCTTCTTGACTGAAGCCCCTTAGAATCACATGTTGAGTTCAGCCAGATACATTTGAATCTTGTTGGTTTTTTTTTTTTTCTTTCAGAATAGTCACTTAATGTATGCTATCTAGTGCTTCAAAGAAAGCTTCCTGATCCTTTTAGAAATATACCAAGGAATTATGGTAGAATATGGATTCCTGTTATTCAAGGAAAGTGGCTGTGCATTTTAAAGTATTGATTCCCTCTAAAAACTTCCCTTTTTAAACATTTCCTCCTTCTCTTTGCAATAGATCATGTATACAGATGGCTGGTCTTTTAGATGAAAGGAAATCAAATTGACATTAACTGTTTTTGCACTCAAGAAATCTTTCACACCTAGAGTTGTGCCACTGAACTGGCATGAGAGACACAAAATCGTAGTGTGTTAGGACTGGAAGGGACCTGGGTATCATCTGGGTGACCTTTATTTTACAGATGAGGTACAGGCAGGCAGATTGCCCACAGCCTGCCTGTCACACAGAGAGCGGGTGGCACAGCCGACAGTAGTCTAGGCTTCTTGATGCCTGATTTCTGTGCTCTTTCTAAACTCAGCTGCCCTCAGTTTTTCGTTTTGTTTGGCAGTTGAACTTTTTTGGCATTTGCTGGATTTGCATGTTTTGGTAAGTAGAAATGACCAATTTTTTAGTGTATGAATGATTGAGGTAGAGACAGAAATACTCGATGGGAGAACTTGAAATAAACAAAATTGACTTTAACTCAGCAGTCTCCTTTTTCTCATAACCAAAAATGAAGCTTCTGACTATGTGACCAAATAGCTCATAGCAAATGTTTTTGACTTTTTAGAGCAGAAGAATCCATAACAGAAGATGACAAGAGGAGGTATGTTTGGTACTGAAGCTGGCTTTCATTTGAATAGTTTTGGCCGTACCTCATAGATTTAATTTTAACATGGATTAATGTGACTCATGGATTTAATTGAACACCATAGCACATTACCAATAACACAGATTCCAACAGGAAAGCTTTTGGCACAGAGAATACAGGTAGGGACATGTGATCTGAAAAAGAACTTGCCCAGGGTTCATAATCTTTGCTTCTTTCAAGCAAGCTTGGTTTTTGTCCTGTGCACGTGGCCTGTACTAGTTCCCACCCTGTGGTCTTTGGGTGTGCTGTTCTCCTAACTGGATGACTCTCTTCATTCTCTCAGCCTCCGTGGTCCTCCCACTCCTCTGGGTAACTTCACTCTGCTCTCATTACTCCTGAACTCTCTCTCTCCTCATTTTATTTTTATATCTACCTATGGGAAAATGTTTTTGCGTGTCATAGAACCAAATACCATATTGACCACTCTGAATTCTTGATAAATGTTGACTGATTAACTGTAACATGTCATTCTACTGTTATTTATTACTACACTAAATTATGACACCCCAACTTCTTTTATTCTTTCTCGTTGTAAGTAAAATATCTAAAAATTCTGCAAACTCAATGCAGCTTCCTTTTTTTAAAATATGTATAGCTTCACAATTATATTTCCAAGGGCAATAATATTCTGAATTCTACTTTTAAAAATCATGAGTTATTTTAATAATTCTGTTTGAAGTACTCCATGCTTCTATCACTTTCTGCACATATTTAGTACCATTGAAATTGGTCTAATTTTTCTATGTATGCTTCTTTTCATTAAGAAACTATGGAGGAGTGTATGTTGGTCTACCATCTGAAGCTGTCAATATGGTATCCAGTCAAACAAAGGCTGTTCAAAAAAGTAAGTAAAATCACATGATATTTATTTTCTCTAAATCTTTATTTTAGGTTTTGTGAAAAAATATGAAATTTATATTTCAATTTGCATGACTCAACACACAAATTACTGAGTTGCAGTGAACATGTATAAGAACCACGTGCCCGTTGACTGTCATCATTTGTTTCCATTGCCACCCACATGATGAGAGTAATTCCAGAGCAAAATTTAGCTTCTCTTTGTGGTTATGCCCCATGGATATTTTAAGTTTCTTATTAATTTCAATGATGATCAATGTGAGAATGAAAGCTAATGTTTCAGTAAATTTATGGAGTTTTTTTAGAACATAAAGGTAAATTCCTGTGGTATATTATAAAGACTAACTGATAAACAGTCTGATGATTAGAGGAAAAATAACTGTCTATTCTATAATTAAATGAAGTGAGGCTCCTTTTTCTGAATTTTAATAGTTATTGTGGGGCTATGAAATCCTTTTAATAATAGGCAGGATTGCAACCTCATAGATCACTTCTTGCTTAAGTGAATTTTTCAGCGAGGCTTGTGATGAAGAATGCTGATTTACTAACCACTGTACAGGTGTCTCGTGTACAGTTTTAAAGGACTATTAATATGTTTAATTTGCACACAAGGCTGTCTTACATTATTTTTTAACCTACTGTAGTTATTTGTTCCTCATTGCTATTTCTCGACTTTATGATTTAGACTAGCAAATACATATATGTCATTACCATTTGTAGTTTTATAGGAAACTAGAATATGTTCTTTATAATCTGAACGTTTAACTTTTCTTAATTTTTTCTTTAAGATTAGAAGAAAATATCCTGACTCAATAATCAAGAGGTACTGTATATTTTTCTAAATAATTGTATATATTTAACCTTGATGATGAATGTAGATATCATTGCTATGGATTTCTAAGAGATCTTGAACTTTAAGATTAGGAGGAGGGTCTTGTGGTTATATCTATGGAGTGGAGCATGTTTTATTGTAAAGAAGTCTTTAAGGATTTGATCAGTTTTCTTTGCAGTTACTTTTTTTTCCATTTCATTTTGTCTCAAATGCAGCAATTCATTTAATAAGAACAAGCTAAACATCCACCTAAAACACCGAGGTTTCACTCTTCATTGCCAAAATTGAGGGGCTAGGACTTAGAAATAATAGATAAGGAGAGACCATAGATTAGGGTTAATATTAAGTATTTGGCAATAGCCAGGGATTAGTTAACATACAGAGAGGAGATGTACCAGTACCAAAACTCCAAGAGAGATGGGCCATCATCAGTGTACAGAGAGGCAGTTACAGAGTAAGGAACAGTAAAATCATAGGCCAAGTTTACAGGTTGGGTATTATAAAACATGTTCAGTGTGGAGAGAAGAAACCATTGTCTAGAAGATGAAGCCCTGTGGACCTGGGATCCTGCTGAAGAGCTTGGAGTTAGAATCATAATAAGATGAACAAGAGTAAGGACAGGAGAAAAATAGCTTTTGTTTATTAACTACCCTCTGCGTACCAGTCTCCAAAAGATGCCGAGCAGCATTTCCATAGAGGCAAAGAGTCTCAGTTCACCTGGTCCAACAGTGCATGTGACGCCTGGATCCCTGCTGTCTTTCAGTCTTGCTGAATGACATCCAGCCTCTTTTGAACGTCCAGTGATCAGAAATTCTCTAGCTCCTGAGATAGCCCATTCTCTTTTGCAAGTCAGACAGCCTTGGATTTGAATTCAGGTTCTTTCATTTACTAGCTGGGCAAGTTACTTCCCTTTTATAGCCTCCATTTTGTAATCTGTAAAATGGAACCAATGCTTAGCTTGAAGGGTTGTTGTAGAATTAAATATGAAATAAATGGTACCTTCTGCTATCGTTGTTGTCATCATCATCATCAACATCATCGTCATCACTATTATCATACTCTTATTCTTTTTTGTAACCAGAATCCAGCCATTGGCAGACCAAAGCAAGGCTGATTTGATATTGAACCAACTTCTTGCCCAGGGCCATATTGGAATTGGTGTTTGGGATCATGTGGGTTGCAGAATAAGCTCGCAGGTAGAGACAGCTAAGCTTTCCCACTGGGGGAAGGGGACACAGAAACTGTAACCAGTACAGTTCCTGACAAGAACTGTAACATGTTGGGTAGCCACTTCTTCAAGACTTTCTCATCAAGGCAACAGCATCATAGAGCTTTATTCCATAGTACCTATGACCACATTGGGGTGTTGAGTCTCCCTTTAGGAATGTGCTGGAGATTTTCTATTTCTAGTATTTTTAATAGAGTTCTAACCCTCCATAATTATAGATTTCTAAGTTCCTTGCCAATTTTCCCTTTATGCAGAAGTTCTTTTGTTCTTCGCATCAAATAGAAAAGATAATCTAGTTGAAATGAAGCATGCATCACTGTTTACCCTTCTGAAAACAGGGGGAATTTCAAACAGCATAAGGAATAGAGTGGAAAGAGGTGCTGTATAGATAGATATGAGGAGGCTGGGAAGCTCTGTTATTAACACAGGACCTTAGATGAATCCTTACCTTCTCTCAATTTCAATTTTCACATGGGAGAGTTAGACAAGATGGTTGTTCAACTTTGTATGGGGATCTAAAATTCCCCAATAACAATTTTGCCTTATTTCTGAGTTACTAGCCCACATAACTTTAGACAGCTAGCTAGAATATTTCCTTACTGCTCATGGCTATAAATAGATGTTATTTTATTGCCATCCCTCTCTCTTCTCAATTTTCACCATTCTTTAACTCTATTTCTAAACAATCAATTTGAATCTGGTGTTTCTTTTGCCTCCTTTGAATTACCTGAAAAGTTTTCTAAGTTGAAATGCTGTCCATTTTCTTTAGTTGCTAAGTGTCCGTTGTGGTAATTATCTGTGATATGTCTGGACTCGTGGCTTTCTGAGCTTAAATTATTGGGCAGAAACCCTGATGAGAAGACTATCCTTTGGAGAGGAAGACATTTTATGGAAAAAATTGGAGTCACATTTTTTTGACCTACCATGTAAAATCTTAAATAAATATTGAGTGAATGTTGAATGTGTTTTACTTAAAAGAAAATCAGTAGATTATTTGTAGGCTTAAAACTGATATATTTTTATTTAAGTTGTACTTTTTCAAGCTTGCTAACTCTTTCCTCTTTTTCTGTTTGTTGTCTTCATAGCTTGCTCATCAAGATTTGGAAGGAATTTCACTCCATGGGACATTGTAATGTTCACAGACATTTCCAAGGAAATTCTAAATAGTCACCTCCCCCCGACCTCCCCAATTCTTAAGTCTATAGTTAAAGCCATGGGTACATGTTGAGTGTTGTGGTACTAGAAAGGAATTGGTTAAACAATACACTTGTATATGGAACTTTCTGTGGTCCACCTGCAAAAGACAAGCTTACAGACTGTCGTGGAGGCGGCTCTTGCCCTGCTGGCCTCCAGCAGCGTATTCACCCTGGCCATTCAACACAGTTCATGAAGATCATGTCTTTTCACGAATACTTTTTTGATAGTTTTTATATAACAAAATCCTTATTCTATTTATAACAAAATAGTAAGGCACTATAAATGAGTTACCCAAAGTAATATATTTGTCTGTTATCTTTCACTATTTCTACTTCACATTAGTTTTTAGCTGTAATATTGTTAAATTGATTCGTACTGTTATCTCTTTCCCTTTTTTACTATTTAGTTTTCAGCTTTGTTTAAATGTCGGAGACTTTATTAGGAACAATGTATTACCTTGCAATTTTTTAAAAATGAACTGCTGAAATTTGCATGCCGTATGCACATTTTGATTACCTTCGTATTTTCTTTGGTCAAAGGCTTATGTAACTACAAATACTTCCTAGCCAGTGAGTCTCCCATTCTACCTTTGTGTGATCACGGCATCTCATCATGTTAATTCTATATTATTTTCAAGGACTTGTGACTGATGGTTAGTGGGATATTTGGAAAGTTCTTAATTTGATAATGACCATGTGTATCCACTTAGTACTGCAATGTAAGTTATTCAATTTATCAATGTATTTCAATAATTAAAACATTTTTATCCCTCTTTATCTGGATTTCTTAATTATTTTTCAAAAGAACACTTTCAAAGAAGTCACACGTGGCATTGTGATATATAGATACAGTTTATCAATATGTGAAGATAATGTATAAATAGATTACCGTGAAAAACCAAAATTTTTCATAAGAAGAAAAGCATGATCTTATATATTTGGTCCATATAACAACCATAGGGACATCAAATTGATAAAAAAGTATTGACGGTAAGAATCACGAAGAAATGATCATGATACACATACTCCTGTCCCATATCCACAGTCCATGACGGCGTTTAGGTGAAACATCAGCAGTTTATCTATCCCATTAGGGATAACGGATAGATTCACTTTTTGAAAACTTTTAATTTTGAAGTAATTTTAGATTTATAGAAGAGTGTAAAAATAGTAAAGAGTTCCTATACAGCATTCACCTAGCTTCCACTAATGTTAACATCTTACATAAACACAGTACATTTGTCAAAACTAAGAAATGAAACATTAGTACAATGCTATAAACTAAACTACAGCCTTTGATTGATTCTATTAGTTTTTCCATTAATGTCCTTTTTCTGACCCAGGATCTCATCTGAGATTCCATTGCATTCCGTTGCATTTGGTCATCCTGTCTCCTTCGTCTCCTCTTCTGGGCATTTTCTCAGTCTTTCCTTGTTTTTCATGACCTTGACACTTTCGAAGTCTGGTGGTAGATATTTTGTAGTATTTCCCTCAATTTGAATTTGTCTGATGTTTTCTTACGGTTAGACTGGCGTTATAGATTTTTGGGAAGAAGACCACAGAGGTGACGTGCCCCCCATCACATCATGTAATAACTCGTGATTTCAACGTGACTTATTATTGGTGATATTAATCATGATCGCTTGGTTAGAGGGCTTCTGTCAGGTTTCTCCACTATAAGGTTTCTAGTTGCCTTTTCCATCCTCTGCTCCTTATAAGTGAGTCACTAAGTTTAGACCACACTCAAAGGAGAGGGCAAGTAAGCTCCACCTCCTGGAGGAAAGAGTATCAAGGAATTTTTGGACATTTATTAAAAGCACTCCAGTAATAGGTATTTTGGGGGAGACACTTGGAGACTCTGCACATGTCCTGTTTCTCCTTAAAGGTTTGCCCACTAATTTTAGCATTCATCCTCAGATCTTGCCTGCAGCATTTATTACTGTGGTGTTCCAATGGTAATTTGCTGCTTCCCTCCTTCCTTCACATGTATTACCTGGATTTCTTCTCTAAGGAATATTTGTCCCTTCTCCTCCATTTACTTATTTATTCAATCATTTAGGGACTCATGGATATTTATTTTGTTTTTTACATTATAATCCAATACTATTACTATTTTATTGCTCAGATTGTTCAAGGTTTGACCATTGGTAGATTTTCAGGTTGCTTTTTGACATGCTGTATCCTTTTCTTCCCCTTAGGTTGACTTTTAATAACCACCCAGCTTATAGAATAAAAATCCAATTCAAAGTTAGTTAAAATACCTCCCTAAAACTTCATCAGATTTCATTATAAATGAATAACGTTTTCCATGTTATGACAAGTCTTAAATTTTCCTTCAACTAGACATTTAAATTTAGAAGCTTGTGATTCTTACATGTTAATAATACTTACCACCCACTTACCTATGTCTTAAGGCTAATGATTCTGATCTTTATTAAGTACTGCAAGGATCTTGAGTGAAAGATGTAGAGAAGAATAACTCTTAAGATTAAGATCTTTCAAAAGAAGAGAAAGGTTGGTGAAGCCTTAAAAACGTCTGAAATTTAAGAGTTAATATCTTTCCAAACAATATGCTCTGGTTCTTTGCAAGGTTATTATTTAGAAAACATATAAAGGAGAGGTGATTTTCAGAGAATTTCTGATTATAAAACTGTCTGATTAGAAAGGTTTTCTTAGACCTAGGCTGGGAGACAGTTATTCCTAGACTTAAAGAACACTGCTAGAATTTAGTTTTGGAAGAAGTGTTTGAATCTCTGGAAGGTGGAGAGCTGGTTTTGGAAAGTACAACCAACTTCTGGGGTTTTACTGAAGAACGGCTGGCATGATGAACTGAGTTCTCAAATCTGATCTGGAGTAGGCTCTGGGGAGAGAGGCGAAATTATAGAAGGTGCTAAGTTAGTACAATGGGGCAGTTGTCTCTGGGTTTTTGAAATGGTAAGAGCTTGAAGAGCAAGAGAAAACAAGTTCAGTTTTGCGAGTGGGAGCTTTGTGTAGCCTATTGAATCCATGCCCAGGGGTGTGAAGACTTTCAGGAGTGAAAATTTATGTAAGGGACTCCTTTGCAGGAATATAGTTTACATTTTATTTGCCTATTTTTACTTAGTGCACAGGGTAAATTCAGGCAGTACAAAATGATGTGCTTTTCCATAGATTGTGTTCTGGTACCCGGTTCTGATTTTCAGTCATTTATCAACCGTCACCAGTTGAGTTCTTGCTGTGCCTCAGGTGGACACTAGTTACTAAGGGTATGGCTAACAGACCCAGTCCCTGCATTCAAGGCTCTTTGGAATCGTAGGGATTCACTGGGTAACCTGTTTTGAACACGCAGAGCAATGCCTAAGGTTGGCATGAATTACGTTGGGAGCACAGAGCAAGGGCACCTAAGTCAGACTGGCAAGTTAGGAAAGACTCCCCCAAGAGTAGTCCCCTGCAGAACCAAAAGGGAGTGCGCGAGTTAGCCAACTATAGGTGGGAGGAGAAAGATGCTCCAGGCAGAGAACCGCAGGGGCAAAGACACAGAGCCCTGAAGGCCCTGGCGTAGCCTGGGAACTGCTAGGAGATTATCCTGGCGAGGTGGGAGGTGATGGCAACGGGATGGAAGAGGTGAGCAAGGTGAGCTTGTGAGGAGCTTCATGGGCCGTGCTGGAACTTCTCCCGAAGTCTGTAGGAAGCCATTGAGGAGGGAAGCAATCGAGCTTACGTGCTGGGTGCCTCCACTTACCCATCATCTGGGGCCATCAGAAGGTTTGCTTTTACTGTCTCTTCCAACTCCTGGTTTAGGAATCTCTCTCTGTAGGAGGCATGACTAATCCTGGCGGTTCTATTTTGTGAGGGTGGGGCTTTCCCATTTGATCTATAAGACAAAATCCTTGGAGTTTTCAGGCACCATGCAATTTGTGGAAAGGTTTGAGAGACAACCAAGAGCTAGGGCAGGGTTGAGTGATAAAGTTCATCTCCTACATGAGACCACACCTTCAAGACTGGGAGTGGTGGCTGTTTTATCTAATGCAGAGAAACCAGCGCAGAGTCAAGGAAAAGGAAGAAACAGAGGAATATGTTCCAAATGAAACATTCCATTAGGAATATCAGAAACATTCTATTATGGCAGGCTCAGGCCTCTCCCAGCCCCAGCTATCACCAGGTGCTTAGGAATTAGGTTTTTGATAATGTTGAGGCCATCCTATTGCTTCACATATTTCTCCCATTTCTTTCTCCACAAAACCATTCCATTAAATGAAGGTGAAATTCTTTCTCCAGTGGAGTCTCCGACACTTGGATAATTTAGCACTTGATTACATATTTTGCTTATTCTCTAAATATTTAATATGAAAGTCCTGCAGACTTCTTAGAAGACAGATGCCTTGTATATTCTTTTCCATTCTTCTTAGAATTGGCACCCAGGGACCCACTATGAAGAAATGGCCTTAGGTTGGTATGAAGGCAAAATAATTTGTAACTCTCCAAGACAGGGATAGACTTCTGGGGCAATCATAGTGTCTTCTCTAGCACAGTGATGTCTTTGGGACAATTTTTAAGGCCTTTGGCAAGTCATTTGGCTTTTCTGAGCTTTGCAAATTTTCAGTGAAGTCGACAAAATCTATTCTAATTCTCTTCTAAGATTGTTAGCAAAATCCATTCATTCATTGATTCATTCATGCAACAACTAGTTCCTGAGTGTCTACTCCATGCCTGTCATTGTTTTAGGTATTGGAGATGAGCAGTGATGAATCAGAACAAAGTCCTTGACATCATGGGGCTTATGTTTTATAGAGAAGAGATGCACTAAATGAATAAATATTATATATGTAGTTGTCAGAGTAATAAATTCTCTGGGGAAAACTAAACCAGAGAAGAGGGAACAGAGAGCTCGTTGGGAAGGTTGGTATTGCAATTTTAATTTAAGTAGAATGATCAGGGAATTACTCAAAGAAAAGATGACATTGGAAGGCAAAGAAAGACCTGAAGGAGAGGTAGCTACCCATGTGGGTATCCAGCAGAATATTTTAAGGAGCAGGAACAAGTTAAAATGCCCCATGCAGGAGTGTGTCTGGCATATTTGAAGAAGAGCAAGGAATTCGGTGTGGCTGGGCAAAGATTGCAAATGGGAGAGTCACAGGAGAGGCAAGAGGGCTGCTGGGAGGGGACTTTGGAGGGAGATTAGGTCTATTGTTGACCGTTGGATTTTTAATTTATTTGTTTAGATATTTTAAAATAAAAATTGCATATGTTTAAGGTAAACAACATGATTTGATACACATATACATAGTGAAATGATCACTACAGTCAAGCTGATTAACACATCATCTTCTCACATAGATACTTATTTTGTATGATGAGAGCACTTAAAATCTACTCTCTTGGCATATTTCCAGTATTTAATACAGTGTTATTAACTATAGTCATCATGCCGTACATTAGATTTCTAGACTTATTCATCCTACACAACTACAACTTGGTACCCTTAACCAACATCTCCCCATTTCCTCCACTCTCCCCGCCCCTGGCAACCTTTGTTTCTATGAGTTCAACTTTTTTTCCTTAGATTCCACACATAAGTGAGATCATACAGTAATTGTCTTTCTCTGTCTGGCTTATTTTACTTAGCAAAATGTCTTCCATGTTGATCCATGTTGTCGCAAATGGCATGATTTCTTTCTTTCTTTTTATGGTGAGGAAGATTGGCCCTGAGCTAACATCTGTTGCCGATCTTCCTCTTTTTGCTTGAGGAAGATTGTTGCTGAGCTAACATCTGTGCCAATCTTCCTCTATTTCGTACG